GGCACCGGTTTTTTCGGCAAATGCTTCTAGCTAAACAAACTAAGACTGGCCGCCAGAACTGTCAGGGAACATCCCCTTAAAATTTCAGCTTTCTAGCTTCCGCGGCCCCTGAGTTAGTAACTTATTGGGCACAAAATTTTCATGGGCCCGTGCATGTTTACTGAGCATACCTGAGAGCTGGGTTCGAGCTGAATGAGTTCACGGGCCCGTGCATGTTTACCAAGCATGCCTGAGAGCTGGGTTCGAGCTGAATGAAACTTAGGTGAACGGGATATATCTTCTTAAAATTACATTCCTTTAGCTTCTCAGGTAATTGAGTTATCAATTTACTCGAAAAAAATTTTGGCGGGCTTGTACGCGGGTACTACGCTTACCCAGGGGCTGGGTTTGAGCCCACTGATACCCGGTTGGGCGGAGAACACTACCCCAAGATTTCAGCATTCTAGCTTCTCAGATCCCCGAGTTATGAACTTACCCGAAAAAAATTTTGGCGGGCTCGTACGCGGGTACTACGCTTACCCGGGAGCTGGGCTTGAGCCCACTAATACCCGCTTGGGCGGGGAACACTATCCCAAGATTTCAGCTCTAGCTTCTCAGATCCTCGAGTTATGAACTGATCCCGAAAAAACTTTGGCGGGCCGTACGCGAGTACCACATGGGTTTTGGGGCCCATTTTGGGGATTGGGGGCGTTGCGTGCATGTAGATTAAGTTCCCGAAATTTCAGCCCTGCAGCTTTTATAGGTCCTGAGATGAAAGTGAGTAAAAGACGCACACACAGACACATGGACACACAGACACACAGACGCACAGAAACACGGACACACCGAGAAACTCTCGTCAATATGCGTCTTTCGCATTGCATTGCTGCAAAAAAACGCATAAAAAGGAGAAGGAAAGCAGGGAAAAGAAAGCAATGTGGTCAGCGAGCTAATCGTCAGGCGATGCAGTTTTAGTCACAGCAACTATAAATAAATGGCCAATGCACCGACTGCCGTTGCGAAGATGAGTTTTTCGTATAGTTCACCGCACGTTTTTGCTGCTAACGGTACCAGTTTTTTCGCAGATGTTTTTAGCTAAAAGAATAGAGACAGGCCGCCAGGAGTCAGGAAACATCCCCTTAAAATTTAGCTTTCTAGCTTTCCTGGTTCTCGAGCTAGCAGACTTATCTGCAAAAAAATTTCATTGGTCCGTACGTAAGAACCACACACAATTAGGGGCAGAGCTTGGTGTCACTAGGTTCTACATGGGTCGGGGACATCCCCTTAAAATTCCAGCTTTCCAGCTTATGCAAATTCATGAGCAAGTACATAGGTACCACGCGAGTAAGAGCGCCGATTATGGGATGGGAGGCCTACATGCATGTAAATGAAATTCCCAAAGTTTCAGCTCTGTAGCTTTTGTAAGTCTCGAGATGAAAAATCAGTAGAGGCGAATACACAAACACACACACACACACAGACAATCTCCTTTGTGTTACTGTTACACAGTACAAAACGCATAAAACGAGTTTTCGTAAGGTTCGCACCGATGGAACGATAGCTATACCGAAGTATCATCGCTATCAAATTCAGAAAAGTAGCATGCACCAAAAACGATCGCATCCTGCCATCTGTTCTATAGAAAAGTTACCTGTAAACTGAAGAAATGCGCTTCTCGGCAGGCGTAGTTAATTGCGTGTCCCTTAAAAGATAAGCGGCAGTTATCATGCGGTGTTCATCT